ATTCATATTTTATTGTAAATTAATTTCTGTATAAGTAAGATTTTGCATCTTTTTAAACACATGCATTCCTTGTTCATTCACTCAAAATCCTACTAAAACACACTCCAAAATCCAATAAAAGATAAAGTAAAATTTTTTCCTTTTTATGATCAGTCATAATCTAATATTACTTTCTTCATTTTATATTAATTATTTAATACTTTTTTTTTGAAAATATAAATAAATTTCTAAACTTTCAAACGAAATTTCGAGGCACAAAAAAATATAATTGATAACTAATATGAAATCGAACGAGTTTGTTACACCTATCTTTCCTTTATTGCACAACTTCTATAAGTAAGCTCACAAGACTTTCTTGTTTTGTGCTTGAGTGTACTTCCTCCACATTACAAGTACTTTCTCTTTTTTGTGTTTAAAAGGGACGAGTCACTTCAAGCATATTAGTGGTCTAAAAAAAAAATTAAACAGCGTCTTAAGTTTAAATTGTTAATAATTTTTATATAATTGATTTCTTCTAGTTTGTATTTTAAATTACTTTTCATGAGATATAGTATTCTAAACATGCTAAAAATTTCTAATAATTTCTTTATTTTTTTGAAAATATTACTTTTTCTACAAATAATATTCAATATTTGTTGAAAAATAATAACTAATAACCTATTATTATTATTAATATGAAGTTGTTTGGCAAGTGCGTGTATATATATATTATTTTACTGAACCTCAATGTGATATAAACTATAATTACATAAACTCCTTGATATAATTATCATAAATCTAAACAAAAAGAATTTGTTAAATTGAGACAAAAATAACAAAATTGCTAATAGCTACAAAATAGAATCCTATTTAACAATATAACATACATATTGTTAGATAAACACATTCTAATTGAGCTTTTCAAACCCTAAATCTAAACTAACCAAAAAAAAAAAAATACTCATTATACACAGACTAATTAAAAAAGAAATCACAATTACAATTTTCCTATTTGCCCAACCACTAGATGTACCATCTTGATGGATAGAGTCATCTGTACTCTCGTACAAAAGCTAACTCGAACACCACGATCAATGATCATCGACGAGACCATTTTGTAGTTGTTTATTACTTGATGTAACAAGAAAAAAATAAGCAAGAACAGCACAAAGAGCAGCAACAACATTCCCTTCTTTAATCAGAATCTTAATAACAAATCGAGTAATATCAAGAGTTAATTTCTTGCCCTGTAACACCAAATCCCTTCTGGGTTTTCCAGCAAAAGTTAACAAAACCAAAATTGTAATCCAAGTTACTAAAGTAGCTGGTAAAGCTACAGATAAAGCTGCTACCATTGAAAGAACCCCAAAAGCAACACCTAATAACACAGATGCATACAAAGCAGGCCACCCAGAATAAGAAATTGAGGAATTAGCTGAAATAGTCGATTCGTACCATGAAAGTACTGATTTGAGAAAATTCCATGAGATCGATAGCAAAATTGCGTAAACCGAGACGAATAGGAAAACCCATGTTCTTCTTTTGCTCATGATTTTGATGAAGAATATAGACGAGATTATTGATTCAGTTTCTTCGATTTGTGCCATTTATTTGGGTAATATTGATTTGATGGCCTTTTAGGACTTTGATTTTTCCTCGATGGGTTTCTAATTTTTCTTCTCTGCTCTGTTTTTTTTCTGGTAAAACAAAGGGATAATATTAGAATGCTTTTATTTTTACCCTAACAACATACAAACGCGCTTGTTATACTGCGTGGTGTTACACAAAAGCTCGATGCAGAAAGTATTCCGCGTTTTATTTTTCTCTCGTGTTCACGCACGATATAATATATTTTGATGTAGTCAACTTGTTTTAATACGAAATTATTTTTCGATGTTTTGGACTTTTGATTTGTTGTTATTTTCTTCTTCTTTTTTTACTTGGATTTTGATGCATTTGAGCTGAATGTAGCTCGAAAATAATATTTATATCTTTTCGAGATATTTATAAGGTTTGCTTATGTCAATGAATATTCCTTCATTCTTAACTAGAGATATAGATTTGAGTTCCCTTACTCGAGGTAGAAGTTTTTTTTTAGAAAGATGTGAATGGGAAAAAATTCTGACCACCGGTAGCGAATGCTTTTGAAAAGATTTGAAGGTAGAAGGCTGTTTCCGTCTAGCTCCGGAAGCATTGTCTGAAGTAATAAGTTGTCTTTGTTAAAAAGCATATTACTCCCAATGTGAGACTTTATGATACAAATCTGAATGTAATCGTACTACAATGTAGATATCCAACACCGAATGAGAAATCAGACAAAAATAAAATTTGTGTAACTTCAAATCCCACCTAGTGATACTTTACTCAATATATTATCGTTGTTGTTCAACTTGTGACTTATAAGTTAATTACACGAAATATAACCGTTATTCTGAGCTATTCCGCTTCTAATATCCTAAAATGAAAGGGAATTATTTTTACCTTCTAACTACATGTAAAATAAAAATTCTTTTATATTAAGGAGATTAATAGATTTAGTGCATAAATTGGTGATAAAATTTGATGTTGGTATGTGATATTTTACTAGATTAGGTATATTAATGTTTAATCAATTAAAAGATATCCCATAAATTAGTGATAAAATTTGATGTTGTTACACGATATCTAATTAAGTATATTTAATAATGTTTAGTTGATTAAAATATAAGGTTTTAATCATCGTGCTTGTGAAATTTTTCGACTTCAACGATTTACTTACTATTGAATTATTTAATTACTTGTATACATGTTGCATTAATTTATATCATTATTTTCTATTTAAAGATAATATATTTTTAAGAATAATTTAAATATATATAATTTATATTATGGAATGCAATTTTTTTAATAGTAAAATGTTATTTATGCATGCTAGTCTGTCACTATGAAAGGCATAAATCACCTACGGATAGTGCAGAGATAAAATAATGGCAGGAACGGATACAAACGTATATTTTCTCCGTTCCTATTTAGTTATCCACTTTAGAAGTGACGCACATATTAAGACATCAATTATTATCATATTTTAGTTATAATTTTATTCTTTAACTTAAAAGATTATGCAACTCTCCAAATATAATAAATGTATTTTCTGGTTCCAAAAAACATGCATTACAACTTAGTAGTACTAGAAATTTTCTAGAATTAAATAAGGACATATTAGGAAAAAAATTATTATTCTTTCTTGATTTGTTAAAATGAATATGGACAAATATAAAAGGAAATATGGACAAGTAAAGAGGGAGTAATATTTTTTAAAATTTTAAAATTCTTTGAAATAAAATTTATATATTTGTAAATTACGTAAAGAGTACTATAAGTCACAATAATTGATAATTCAAAATGTTAAAAGCATTTATGAAAAATTTACAGTCAAAGATAGACTTGTTTGAATCTCAAAATACAAAAAATGCTACATAAAATGGGACGAAGCGAGTACTATTTTGAAACTGAAGTCTGTGTGTGTGGTCCAAGATTCTTTGCTGCTGCATTTCACAAGCCATCTTTCAACACAACATTTTATGTACATTAATCTTGGTCCAACTTTTATATCTGTATAAAAAATTTATTGAACATACTTGATTAAATTCAGATTTTTGTCGAATTTTTTTTTGAAGGTGAAACGCTTTGTAACAAAAACGGTGACCCGAGAACACAAATTGAAATTTCTAATTATGAATGAATAAGTATTTATCACTCTACCGTTGGTTAGTGTGTTAATTATGTGTGGAGGTTATAGATATCTTTCCCATCAAAACATTACTTTTTGAAAATATCTTAAAACTAACAAAAGTTTAGAGAAGAAAACAATGAACAAAAGCTGCAAATGTATCATTCCATTGAGATTTACAGAAAAAGTGAGTTGAAACTTGAAAGCATCAAAGTAGTAAAGTTAAACTTCTCTTTTAACGGATAAAACTATTGTCATATGACAGAAAAATCAAGGATTTGAGCGTTAAAAATAACCTCTCGCAGAAATGTAGGATCATTGTTCATTCTGCCCTTGTGATCTGGCCCTTTTCGAATCATCCCGCTTACTATCAAAATTTCAACTAATCATACTTGTCCCTCCATGAACTAACAAGAAAAAACACCCAAGAAAGTGCAAGAACAAAATCACCAACAAGTTGTCTAGGCCAATCATAAGCTAAATCCTCAACTTTCCTTTCGAAATACACTCTCCATAACGCCATTGATACATGAAGAAAGATACAACCTTTAGCGAAAAAGCTCTGAAACTCCCTGTCCTTAACAAACGACACCATGAATAACAATAACCCAATTACACATAACAGCAATCCAACGAATGAATCGGAAGTTTTTATCAACAATTGATCATGCGGTGTTGATCCAAGTAGCTTTCTCGCTGTTTCGATTCCATGTCCGAGAACAGATACTTCGTTCAGATAAAACATTATCAGAACACCACAAGTAGTCGCTATTAGCGAATGAAGAATGCAGATTATGAAGAACCCAGATGATCCCATTCACAAAAATTGATATCAGAGAAGGATATGTTTTAGCTAGTTAGATGTGAAATTGAGCAAAATAACAGAGATCATTTGTATTTTTGTATAGATGAATTGAGAGTATCGAGAAAAATTTTGAGATCTGAGATTTGGGAATGGCAGAGTAGTGAGGATTGTAACCCTAGATTCACGGGAGAAGAAGATAGATGACAGCTGGAGATATGTTATTGGTAAGTGTGCATTTTGGAATTTGCTTACATAACATATCGATTTTATTATACTTATCGACAATCATATTATTTGTTGTTGTTACTTAATGCATAGCACTTTTTTCGAATGGGTCTCCACACAGCACAAATTCAAAATAGTCAAATTCAATATAGATACCAAACAACAAGCAATTACGAAGAGCAAATGACCCATAACCAGTATGATTGATCAGAACAGCAAAACCTCAACAATGAAACATTTAGCTACGATAAATGCAACCATATAGTATCATGTAACAGATCATTCAAGAAGACAAAAAACACATAAATTTCTCTTATCATTTATCTAAAGGATCTAAATATCAACTGGTTGCACTAACAGCATGATTCAATCAAGTAAAACTGAAAGCAAACTATATCACTGTACTTCAACAAACAACATCTCACTCATTGAGACAAATGATCAAACATCTTCAAGGCGACCGGCGCTTCAACAATCTAGGCGAAGTTCTCTTCACTGATTCAACTTTCTTCAGACTCTTCTTCTTCATAATCTTTTCATTCTTAGATTTTACCTGATTAACCGCATCAACATCTTCATTCCTCCGGCTTCTCGTCCTCCCAGCAACACCTTCTTCCACATCCCTCTCCTCGAACTCAAGCTTTCTCACCAAATCATCCTCAGATTCATCAACCAACCTCCTTTTCCTCTTCAACACATACGGAGCAAGAGGCATAGGTGGGCTACTCTCCGTACACGTAGCCACCGTAGAATCCTTTTCCGGTGTTTTCTCACGCTCTGCACGTAACTTCTCGATGTTTCCTTCAATTCGGCCCTGAAGACGGTGACGCGTCAAACTAACACCACCCATGGACCAGTGAGCTTCCTCCGCCAATGACATTAATGGATCGAGGACGGAACGTGGTGGATCTACTCGTTGTTCGTTGGGCTTGTAGAATCTAGGTCTAGGGAGGCTGCTGCCGTAGAATCTTCCAGGTTCTAGGGCTACCACCATGCTGTAAAACCTAATTTATCAAAGGAAGAAGGAGCTTTGAATTGAGATTTGATGAATTTCAGTGCTAATTTTCTTCTCAATTTATAGCAAGTATAGTAATTGAAATGGAGGGAAATACTTTTGGAGGGAAATTTGGCGCCAAATATTTACCGCGCTATTTTTTTTTTTAACTTTTTATAGATATTGGATAATGGAAATTATGTTTGAGTTTTGAC